AAATGGAAAGCGTTACAACGGTTGTGCTATAATATATTTGGAAAATATTGTCAATTTTGTCAACTATAATATATCGTAATAATTTAGGAGGTGAAGCTGTTAAAACGCACTATTGAGGGTCTAAATGTTCATACGGCTAACTTAAAAGCAGAAATTGCACAGAGGGATCAACTTATACAGGTTTTTTCCAAACTTTTTTTGTTGGTATTTATATTTTTTGTTGAATGCGGTTACTTGAACATTTTCAGTCTAACGGTTTCGTTTTGGTTGAGCAGGAAGTTGATGAGACTCAGTTGACCAATGGAGGAACTGTAGATAAGTCCGTTTTTGCAAATTTTATTAGCAGTTTCCAAGTTTTATGCGTTTTCTAAAATGACTTTTTCCTTTTTTATGAAGTGATGTGCAAACTTTTATAGTTTCCAAATATCTGGCCGTTTTTCAACAAAATTAAAGGTTTTAGGAAACCCGTACCATTGATTTTCGCTCAACAGACTATATCGTTGGTGGATAAGGTTATACCAGGCTCGTCAACTCTTGACGAAAAAGTGAAAAAACTTGTTGATATGGTAAGAGGTTCCTTTACGTTTTTTAAGATTTTCTTAATAATTACGCTCCAGTTGTGGATAAAGTACTGTTTTAAAATATAATTTCTGATATTGGCAATGTAAATTTTTTGATCTAATGGTTTTTTCTAATTTTTAGTTGTTATTCTTTTGATTAGGTTTAGTCTTTCTGCAAGAATTGACCGGTTGAGAATGTAAGCAGCATATAATATGCATGATTACAACTTAGAATGGTAATATTTAGAACAAGAAAATGAGACAACAAGTCGAAGAAGCTGAGCAGTCACTATATGCACGTCGGACAGCAAGGAATGATCGCAGTGGCATGGCCAGTAATGGTTCGCTTAGCGAGGATCTACAAAGTGAGGAAATTAACAGCCTTTTCATAATTTGGGGAGGTCGTGCACTTCAATAAATTTTTTTACGATATTTTTTCAGTCCTACTGTAGAGTCATTAATGGTTTCAGCTGTTCAAAATTTTAGTACTCTCATTCATTACAAGGGTATTAAGATTTTAAATTGTTGTTTTTTGTAGTTTTTATCAAAAGTATTTTCTCACTTTAATCTCTTTCAACTTTTTTATATTTGTTTTTGGAAACGTATGATCTGCTGTCTTTTTTTACCAACAGAGGCGGAAAAAGTACGGCGTCTTGGTAAGGACTGTTTCTTGCATTTTGATGAGAAGTAAATGTGTTAAGTCGGCTCATTGCTAATTTTCGATATCTGATTTCATTTAGCTATTATTTTATTTTAAAAGTTAAGGAGGTAATAATTGGTTTTAAAATATAAGGTACGGATTGGAAATTTGCTTATTTTTTTTGATTTTTTTTTGTTTTGATTTTTTATGAGCGCTTTTTTTTTTCTTTTTTCTTGAAACAAATTTTTTAATACCGTTTTATAATTTGAATTTTTGCGAATAGAGCGTACTGGTAGGAAGCATTAGTAGGAATTTAAAGCAGTAATTCGTGTATTCATTTGCTGGCACTAAACAGCTTCAGAGATAAAGGAAGTCTCAAAGCTTTTAAAAGATTGTTACGGGAATATTTTCGGGTTAACAGTTGAATAAGTTGCAAACGGCATTTTATTTATTTGACAACCAGTATAATGTACCTCTTGTTGTCCTTGGAGGACATGTTAGATTATAGAATGGAGTTACAAATGAGAAGCCTGAGTACTGTAGGAAACCGTTTGTGGTTGCTGGACAGACTGAATCAGAGCAGTGCAGTAGAATTTAGCGAAATTTTTTTTTCTTTTTATCGTTGTTCAAGTAAATTGAGAAAGGAAATTGGTTTTTTAAAAGGCGCCGTCTGTAGTAAAGATTTTGAGTAATGAAGCTAGATCTTATTATTCTTTCTTTTCAGCAGCGTTTTGTTCCTTTTTACAGTGCTTTGAAAAGCTCTTTTTTCTGTATAAAATAGTGAAGGCTCATTTAAAGCAAACATTTTTATGGTTTGATTTTTTTTATAATGAACGTAGGTGAAATCGAATATTGGCGGTGGAACGGCTTGATAGCTGCTTCTCGGTTTAGGCGTGTTGTCATTTGTGTATAAGCTTCATCACATTTTGCTTGCAGTACTGGGTGTAAGTTGCATGAGTTTTCTGAATGGTTCTCATATTTCATGATTATCCAACGGTTTAAGGTTACTGTTGGCTTTCGGACTTTCAAACCATTGTGCTCCACTATAAATTTTTTCATGTAATTAGCCACTGGTGCGTAATTTATTTAGAGCCCAGAGTGTCTGGATTATGCAAGGAAAAGTTTAAGTGACAAAAGTCATGAGTTAGAAACCCAATCTAGAAGGAAGTTTTTTTAATGTAAGGATTGTTATGGATGTAGGAAAACCATGAAGCAGAAGAAGAAATTTTTTTGCCTATTATTATTATTTCTTTAGAGATCTTTGGAGAATAACTTCTGAGTTTTAGATTGGTTAGTGCAGAAGTTCTGTGAAATGGGGTTTTTATCTTGAAATAGCTTCACTATATCATTTTCTCTTTTTAAAAGCTGTGAATTGTTTCATTATTGATGCTTTTTAACGTTTTTGTTTGCATTTTTCTCTATTTGTTTTTGAGGCGTTGTGGCTGTTAATTGTTCTTTAGCTTTCTTCCTCTTACAAGAATTTTTGCTTCCGTCCTTCAGGGTTTGAGGTATTTAGTTGTTATATTTTGGGGCTCAGCATTTAAAAAAGTTGCATGATGCTTAACGTATGATTTACATGCGCATTTTTTGCAATTTTTTATCTAGCCTACTGATCGTTTTTTTATTTCGCTTTTTATTAAAAGTTTTGCAGAAGATGCTGCGAAGCAGTTAGCCGAGATCAAATTCAAGTTACAAGAATCTGAGCGTGAAAATACTAATCTTCAAGGAACGGTCAGTTGCTAATACATTTTTAAAGCTGAGTCTTTACTACTTTTTTTTGAAATTGAGAGTGGTGTCTTTTTTGGCTAACTAGAATCATTCAGTCATTGTAGATGATTCGGATGGAGGGGCAATTAAAGAGATATAAAGCAAGCGCTGAGCAGGCCGAGAAAGAACTTACTGATTTAAAAGCGCAGAACAGACAGCTCAAGAAGGATGTAAGTTTTAATTTTATTTAGTAATATTCATTTTGCTTTTTTCTCTTTTTTGTCTTATTTATTTCTTTGTTTATTTTTTGACGTTTGTTTTGTATTGTAATGTGTGTGACGGTGGTAGTCGAGTGTTATAAGCCTATAGTTTGTTAACCTGGTAATATTTTGGTAACTTTTTTATAAGAATGACTTACTTGCATCAAATTCGAGTTATAATTACTGAATAAGTAAAGTATGACCGCAGCACAAAGAATTTTTTGGTAGAAGGGCATAAAATGGTACGTAGAGGATGTTGGAACAAAAGTCGCGAAAAAGTTTCTTACATGTTTTATACTAGCTTGACGGGTAAATAACACACTATTTAATGATTGTTCAGAATGCTATCTTTTCGGCTTTTTTCGGATTTTTGTTAAACTGAAGGGGCTTTATGAAAACATAATTTAAAAAAGGTTTTTTTATTTTTTTAGCACCTTATTGTTTTTCTGGATTCCAATTGAAGAGTGATCACGGTTTAGAATACGTGATTTATTTATCTGGCATTGGTTTTTTTGCGGTTAATCTCATCGCGTTGGGGACATCCTTGTTAGTAGTAAGTGACATGCTTAGGAATACTGTTCAGTGTTTGTGTTTCTGGACCTAACTTCCATTGTACAATTAAAATCAACGACCTTGTGCACTAGACGTTTACTTTCAAATCTTGCAGTATTTGTTTCTTTTCGAGCCTGTTGTTTTAAATTAATCTCAGCTTGCTAATGTATACATATATAGTCGTTTTTGTTTGGTTGAGTGGAATTTTCATTTTTTTGTTGCTCATTAGTGTCTCCTCTCACTCGTTTATCTATTTACCTTAAACTTTTAGTTGCGTGAAAGTGAGAATTCTTTGGACGAAGCAAAGGAGACAAATCGGCATCTCCAAAACCGGCTAGAAAAGTTGCGTCACTCTTCAAGAAAAGCGACATGAATTGATAATTTTTTGTAAAGTAATGCTTCTCACGTTAATTGATTGTTTTCTAATAGTATATACCACCTTTGAAAACGTTATATGTAAGGTTTTTGTTCTAGACTGTGAGATTTCTTGAGCATAAATTGTTTTTATTCTTCGAAAGAGTTGTTATATACTGTGTATATTATGAATAATGTTGTGTTTTATTAGTTCAGAGCCTACACCGATTAATTGCCAGTTATTCTTAGGAGTGTTCTATCTCATTGACTTTGTAGAAGAAACGGTTTTATGCTATTAATCGGTAGCAGAGAGGTTAGATTACTAAAAACTAATGGTTGTATTTAGATTTATTTTGGTCTGTGCTGAGATACTTTGATCGAATTGATGTTGAACTTTTCCGTAGAAAACCTATTTATAGTCGTCAATTTTGCAAATGTAAACATACATTTAAAATGCGCCTCAGTCGTTCACCTGTTTGAGATAAATGACTAGGAAATTTATTAGCTTTAATTAAAATAAGGTGCTATTGTCAGAAGTTTGTAGTTCTGACTTAGTTTTTTTCTGTTCAGTTTGGTTATAAACTCGTAAATATTTCTGTTTTGTTTTTCTTGTCTTTACTATAATTCACACTTTGTTGATTCTAATGAGTTCATCTTGTTTCAGCTTTGCCAACTTAGCATTTTTTATAATTGTTAATTTTCAGTTATCTGTTTTCATTTAATTTCTTTTTGTGTTACATTTTTTGTTTTTTTTTTGTGTTTTTTTTTTGTTTCTTTACGAGCTTAATAAGGCTAGATTTCAAACTGTTTTTGGCAACTGTTTTTCACCGTTTAGCATGTGTTAATTGCTTGGGAAAGTCGTAATATTGGTAGTCTGCTCGTGCTGGTATAAAGAAAAAGGCTTTGTTGTGCCCGTATTGGTTGGTTTAAAACTATGAATATCGTCGTTTACAGATCACAGTGATCTTGTTTACTCAAAAGTTCCGAAGAATTAAAAGTTGAGAGAATTTTGGTATAATAGCTCTTGGGTTATATTGACAAATGCACAAAAAAGGAGTTGTAGAACAGTTATTGCTTCAGAATGAAATGTTATTTATGATAAGTTATGATGGTGCTAAATTTATTAGAAGAATGTTGTTCCAGATATAATTGTATTGAAATTGAACATATTTGAAAATAGAATACGGTTAAAACGCGGGATTTGCATCGATTTGGTTCGGAAAAGGTAGCGGTGATATTAGTTGGATTTTGAAGATAAGTTTTTTGTTAGAACATCAATGAATTATTAGGACAGTGGATTTATTGGGGCTTTTTTGATAATAGTCGGTAATAATTTTTGATCAGTCGAACAGTGTAATTTGGAACACTCGTTGATTATGCGTTGCAGAAGTTAAAATCTCTAGCGTCATAATTGCTGATTACTATGCTGGGCACAAATCTATGTAGTGAGAGCGTTAAGGACCAATGAGTTTTTTTTTTTTTTTTT